ATCCTCTCCATACAATACAACTGATCCCCCCGAATGGCCTTACCAGTTTCCCCTACAGTGGTTTTGCCGCCTCTAGAGCGTCCACAACCAGGATTCAATATTCCCTTTGGCAGAACAAATCCTCATGTGCAAAGGAATGCTGTCTCTTTTATAGGATCGGAACCTTATTTGGACGCCAGAAATCAAGGTTTTGTGAACCAGTTTTTGGTAGTGGATCTGGTGATGCAGGGCACGTCAGGCCGGTGGATTTTCCGCGGCCGCATACAGGAATTATGTTGAGAATCACCGGGATATTGATGACTCTGACCTTAATTTATCTCTCAAATTGTGAATTGAGTGTGATAGTTTTTGTTGTAATAGATAATAGTTTTCATGATGTGGTTGTTCCAATGATATATTTGAAATATCGAAATATATTATTTGTATTTCAAGGAAAAATAATTTGTATAAATTGTTGGATTAGCATTTTCTCTTCTTTTTTTCTTTCTATTATTTTTTTCTTGTTCTTTGACTTTACAATATTCTATATATCTTTATTGTTTTTTGCATTTTCATAATTTTACACCATTAACATAACATTCATCACATTATTCACCATACGAACCATCTAAAAACCATTCACATAAATTTTTGAGTTTGTACTTTTCATTTTTTCTTTCAAATTTTGTTTTTGTTTTTTTTTTATGACGTTTAAATTTTGTTTTGTATTGTTTTTTGTGGATTTTTGTTCCTTTAAATCTCTTTGTTTTCCTTCATAAGTATCACATCTAACATATACTTTTGATACAAATTTATTAGAAAAGATTCCAATATATTGTTGCCTTTCTTCAATTTCATTTTTTCCTATGTATATCTATACTTTACTTTGTAGTATAACTGTTTTAGTCCATAAACATAGCATTAAACACATATTTTCCATAAAAAGAACATCACACCAAAAAATTATTTCAACTAAAATATGACAAACTTCAAATAAAGATTCATAAAAAATAACACACCCTTTATGAATTTATAGAAGAAATATGACTAATGAAAATAATCACATCAAAGCAAATACACAGGGTTTGTTTGTCCACACATTTTTTTCCGACATGATAATATATTTTTATCCTCTCACAAAATCATCATTCATTATAAAATATTATTTTCTATATTACCAATACAATTTTTAATACATCACATAAGAAAAAAAATTGAAATCAAAACACTAAACAAATTAAACAAAACAAGAATAACAAGAATATTGAGATTGGAAAATGCAGATCTAAGAAAAATGAATTAATTACATCATATAAATATAGACAGCCAGTCAATTTTTTATATATTGAGGGGACAAATCAATATGGTGTTGATATGCTCCGACGAGCCTTGTAATCGATCAACAATTTTAACATAATCCATTAAATGAAAAGTACTATGATTCAAATTCAACATAACCTAAAAACACATAACCTAAAAAATAAGAAAATAAATTTGATTCAGTAGGATCGTTGAGCTAAAATATATAATATATAGAATATAGATAATTTTTAAATACATTCAAAATCTAAAATTTTATCATATCCATCCAAATTAATGTAAATCACAGCTAAAAAGGGAAGAAGGAAAATAAATAGAGGAACAAAAAAAGGAAAAAAAATTATATTTTATGGTCATTTAAAAATCCTAATCCAAAATTTATATAAAATTTACAAAATTTCATAAATAAATTTAAAAACAATTTAATCCAAAATAAAAACCCAACACAATTAAAAATAATAAAAATAATAAAAAAAAAAATAAAAGGAAAAACTTAAACTGAAAAATAAAATAGAAATAAATTTAAAAAATTCATAAAAACAACATAAAAAAAATTCACAATCCGGATAAGACTCCAAATCTTCTCCTTTATATATAGAAATTATATCTACATATAATAATAATAATAATACATTTATATATACATATAGTTTTATAATTAAAACTTGTTTTTTTATATAATTGTAATAATTTAAGATTAAATCAAATTATTTTTTTAAATTAAAATTTTCTTGTCATATTTTATATAAAATAATCAATCAAATAATTATTTTCATTTAAAAATATTAAATTAAAAATGTAAATTAAAAATAAAATTGTTACGTATTAAAATTAAAATTAGGTTAAAAAGCCCAAGGTTAAAAAAAAATGGGCCTGGTAATAGAGTTGATTGAACTAGTTGAAGGGCACCGTGGGGAACTCAAGGAAAACAGGTTAATTTCTAAGGAGAATGCAGGACGGAAGATCCTCAGGTCGGGAAGTCCTCAGGATGGAAAGTCCGCAAGTCGGAAGGTCCTCAGGTCGGGAGGTTCGCAGGTCGGAAAGTCCTCAGATCGGGAGGTCCTCAGGACGGAAGGTCCTCAGGTCGGGAAGTCCTCATGACGGAAAGTCCGCAGGTCGGAAGGTCCTCAGGTCGGGAGGTCCTCAAGACGGAAAGTCGTCAGGATGGAAAGTCCTCAGGTCAGGAGGTCTGCAACTGGACCAGTAAGTCGGATGGTCTTTAGGTCGGGAGGTCTGCTACTAGACTAGTAAGTCGGATGGTCTTTAGGTCGGGAGTAAGTCGGATGGTCTTTAGGTCGGGAGGTTTGTGACTGGATCAACAAGTCGGGTGGTCCGCAAGTCGGGAAGAATGGTAGTCGGGCCAATAAGGTGGAAGAGTAGTGTTCGGACCAAAAAGGCGGAAGGTCTGCGGTCGGTCCAAAGAGGCGGATGCTGTTAAGAGTGGAATAGAGTGATAATGTTAGTTTGTTGAGGACACGTGTCAGCAGAAGAAGGGTTGGCAGACGTTTGAAAAGGAGACGTAACCATTCGGGCGACGGTTTTAAGTACAATTTCTCATGAAGTATTTAAGGATTTGGATTTTTCTTGAGAAGACATCTTCAATCAACTTCAACAAAGCAAAGTCAGATTTGGGGATCATCACTTTAAATTTCCAGCATTTTAATTTCCAGTTATTTCCTTTTATGTACCGTATAGTGTTTAGAGATTCCTAATCTCAGACGCTAATTAATCAAGTTTAAAGATATTTTCTATATCTTTGAATTTTACTTTTTGTTTGTTGAAAAAATACATCAACAAATTGGCGACCACAGTGGGAGAAAGGCAAGATTGCTGATCCTACATTACCAGAGAATTTCATACGACTGAGGTTGGGCCGAATCATCAGAAGGATCAATATGGCTGGCACACAACCTCAATCATCATCAGCACCGGTGGGAGAAAATGTTTCACCACCAGTTTTGCCAAATCCAGGGGAGATTCCCCAACCACCTACCGATTGGTTGTTTTATGTTCAGCAAATGAAAAATCAACAGAATGTGTTTATGCAGAACATGTTGCGTGAGCAACAAAATCTTATGCAAAACATGTTAGATCAAGCATTATCAAGGGTTACTCTTCAACCCACCCAGACGCCGCCAGGGGTGTCACCATCAAGAATGCAAGCGAATTTTGCAGGGCCATCATATATGGACAGCGCACTTCCAAGCGCCACAAATTTCAACCGAATAGATAGGGGAAAGACTCCTCTGACTTTCCCAAATAATATTCCTTTGGGACCAAGGGTTGAAAATGTGCAACTGACCATTACAAGAGAGGAAAGGCCAGGGGGATATGTGCAGGATCCCATTCATATTCCTGTGCAAAATCCCATTGATGTTCCTGATCATCAACAGTTTCGTTTGGGTGATGAAATTGCTCAAATATTGAGGGTTCAATTTGGTCTAAATCCTCAGATGGCCAACCGACCAGCTTATCAGCGACCGTTTCCAGAAAGGATTATCAATGAATATCCTCTCCCAAGGAATTACAGACCACTAGATTTTCATGCTTTTTCTGGAGAGGATGGGTCCTCCACTATAGAGCATGTGGGGCGTTTTACAGCACAGTTAGGGGGAATTGGTAACAATCCTTTTTACAAGTTACAACTGTTTGGATTGTCTTTAACTAGGACAATTTTTTCATGGTTTGTAAGTCTCCCACCTGGGCAAATAGAAACTTGGGAAGGTTTAGAAATGGCGTTTCATGCCAGATTTTTCAAACCCCTGCCAACGGTTTCTCTGACTGATTTTTTGGAGATGAAACAATATCCGGATGAATCAGCATCACAATTTATTGAGAGGGTGAGATTAATAAAGGGACGATGTCCTACTATAATCAGTGAGAAAGAGATGACCAACTTAGGTGGTCCGAAACATGCATGGTCGTTTAAGAGATGCACTCACTGCACATGATGTCGAGGATTTGGCAAGCCTCGCTTCCAAGGTTGGACGTTTAGAATCTCTGTTCAGGGAAAAGGATCAGAATTTCAGGCGTAATAAAGGTCAACATATGGCTAGTATGGAAACAGAGGCATATGAATTTGATTATGATCAAACAGAAGAGATGGCGGCCGAAATAATTTCATGGAAACCTTATGTATGCTCTAAGTTAAAGCCAGCACCAGGAACGGAAGCTAAAGGGCAACCGACCTTTGACAGTTCAAAGGCCGATGAGATATTTGATATCCTGTTGACTGATGGTCAGATCCGAATTCCAAAGGGACAGAGGTTGGCCACCAAGGAAGAAATTAAAGGGAGGCCATATTGCAAGTGGCACAATTCTTTCACGCATAGTACAAGTCAGTGCACCCATTTTCGAAATGAGATCCAAAAGACTATTAAGGCAGGACGGCTCAAGTATATCACTTTAGGAGTGGAGCAGCAACCATTTCCAAAAGTAACCACAACGATGGTTATTATACAAGCAATTTCCCGAAAGGAAAAAGGGAACACATCAAACAGTGTCCGACCAGAGAAGAAACTCAAGGTTTGTGAAAAAACAGTGGCTGAAAAATGGGACAACCAAGATGGTTCTTTTAATGTGGAATTAAAGGACCATGTTGTAGTTCGGGACCACCCGACCAGGAAACGGGTGTGGTCGGAAGCAAATGGACTCGAAATAAGAAACCAATACCAATTGATGTGGATCCTCGCTTCCCAGGCATGAATCGTACTCAGATTCGGAATGCCAAACGCAGATATGCTGCAAGATACAGAGACAAGGTCGCCTCATCAAAGCAACCGAACGACAGTCGAGGCACTGGCAAGTATTCTGAGCAAGGTCAGTCCATTAGGGTCGTTTCGTTTGAACAGCCGAATGAGGTTGAGGAAGGTCGGTTCATGGAAGAGCCCCTTCAGAGCAGCCGACCAGCGTTCGGTACAATGAGGGAGGTCGGTCCATGCCAAAAATAAGTAAAGGTTTGTCGGATGAAAGAGTTAAGGGTTTCAGATGTCAACATTGTGAGAAGGTTAATTTTAATCCATCAATAGAGGAGTTTCATTTGGAGTCTTTGACTGTTCAACCCGAATTGGAAGTTGGTAAGGAAGTTCCAGAGAAGGATTCAAGGTCTGTCAAATTTCGACTAGGGCCACGTATCCCCTGCCGAATGACAGAAATTAATTGGGTTGAGGAAGAACCTTTGTGGGCAAGTCTGGTGGATGAGTCTATAGAAGAGCCAGAATGGGCAAAGATTGCAGACCCTGACTCTCAATCAGAGGTCCCTCCAATTGTCTTCCCTCCTATTCCAGAAGGCATGGCGTCTCATTTGAAGCCTCTGTACGTTAATGCTCATGTTTGTGGGAAACCAATTACAAAGGTTTTCATTGATAATGGGGCCGTTTTCAATGTAATGTCATTAAAGACTCTCAAAAAATTGGGGAAGGGGATTCATGATCTATCTCCTGTGGATTTTGAAATGACTAGCTTTACAGGGCAGCCGACCAGACCAGAAGGCATGTTGGTCGCTTTCATTGAAGTCGGTCCAAAGAAGATTTTTTCTGTCTTCTTTGTGGTGGATGCAGACACCACATATTCAATCCTGCTTGGACGAGATTGGATACATGCATCTAAATGTGTGCCATCAACACTGCATCAGCAATTGATGTTCTGGGAAGGCAATCAGGTTTTTAAAATGGAGACAAATGACAATCCTTTTGAAGCATCAGAACAAGTAGAAGAATCAGTTTTCTATTCTGGTCACGTACCTTCAATGTATCAATTTTTTATGGCTAATGATTACCCAAAGAAGGGTTTTAAGTTCATTGGCCAGAATTCAATGTTCTGTTAAAGAACAGTTGTACTATATGGCTCTTTAGTAAGTCAGACCTACTTTATATAATACTTTTCTTATGGAAGAAGTAGAATTGCAAGATTGTAGTTTGCTTATTAATAAGTATTATTTAGATCAGCTTTTGAAAAAAGTAGAAAAAATAGAAAAATGTGATGTTCATTTCCAAGAAGATGAACAATTTCGTTGGCCCGATTTGTTAGAAAAAATAGAGCCAACTTTCTCAGCGCAAGATCCTTTGTTGGAGTTTAATTTAGGAACCGATCTGGTTCCAAAAATAATCAGAATGAGTGGTTATTTGTCTAAAGAGAAACAAACATTGATGCTCAATGTTATAAGAACCAATATTGAATGTTTAGCTTGGGACTATTCAGAAATGCCTGGTCTGGAGCGAAGTTTGATAGAACATCGACTCCCCATTAAGAAAGATTTCAAGCTCTGTAAGCAATTTCCAAGACGTATGAGTCCTGACTTGATGCCTCAGATTAAAGAAGAGATTCAGAAGCTTCTTAAAGTGGGTTTCATCCGACCTTGCCGTTATGCAGACTGGTTGGCCAACATTGTACCAGTGGTTAAGAAAAATGGTAAGATCAGGATATGCATTGATTTCAGAGATCTTAACATGGCCACCCCTAACGACGAGTATGTGATGCCTATGGCCGACATGCTAATTAACTCAGCAGCAAGGCACATAATTCTTAGTTTGATGGATGGTTATGCAGGATATAACCAAATCTTTCTAGCAGAGGAAGATATTCATAAGACAACATTTAGGTGTCCAGGAGCATTAGGCATTTACGAGTGGATGGTTATGCCTTTTGGCTTGAAGAGTGCTGGGGCGACTTATCAGAGGGCAATGAATGCAATTTTTCATGACCTCATTGGTAAGTCTATGGAAGTTTACATTGATGATGTTATTGTCAAGTCCCCTAGTTTTAAGGAACATTTGGAGGATCTTAAGGATGCTTTCAGTCGGATGAAGAAATATAAATTGAAAATGAACCCAACTAAGTGTGCTTTCGGTATAACAGCTGGGAGTTTTTTGGGGTTCCTGGTTCATGAGAGGGGTATCGAGATCAATGCTAACAAAGCCAAGGCAATTCTTACCAGCCGACCACCTCAGACGGTTAAAGAGATTCAAAGTCTGTTAGGGAAAGTGAATTACCTCAGGCGGTTCATTTCTAATGTGGCTGGCAAGGTCAGGCCAATCACTAAATTATTGAAGGCAGGAGGAAGCCCCTTTGAGTGGGGACCAGACCAACAGATGGCGCTGGAAGCTATAAAACAAGCATTAACTTAACCACTTGTGTTAATGCCTCCCAAGGAAGGTCGGCCTCTCAAACTTTATTTGGCCAATACTCATGAAGTGGTCAGTTGCTTATTGGCTCAAGATGGAGATGACGGAAAGGAAAGGGCAATTTATTATTTGAGCAAGACTCTCACAGGACCAGAATTGAATTATACAATGCCAAAGAAGATATGTTATTCATTGGTGTTTGCATGCACCAAGCTTGAACATTATATGCTGCCTAGAAGAGTTGAGGTTATTTCAAAGATTGATCTCATCAAGTTAATTTTGCAAAGGCCTACGATGCAAGGTAGACTCATGAAATGGGCCATTAAATTAGCTCCCTTCGTTTTGTATCATTCTTCCTTAAGGGCGGTCAAAGGCCAAGCAGTGGCAGATTTCTTGGCAGATTTCACAGGTTGTGAAGAGCAACCGACCGGGTGTATATCTTATGTAAGCACCCGAAATTGGTTAATGTTTTTTTTATGGTTCTACCTCAGGAAACAGATCTGGTGCACGCATCCTATTGGAAGGACCAGACGGCCAAATGGTCAATTTGCAGCTTCAATTGGAAGATATGACTCATAGTTCAGCAGAATATGAAGCTTTGATGTTGGGATTGGAAGCATTGATAGCCAAAAAATTTCAGTCGGTTATTTCTAAAAAGGGACTCTTAATTGGTGATTAACCAGGTAAACAAAAAGTATGTTTGCAATTATCCTGACCTTCGGAGGTACAAAGATTTGGTAGGTCGGTTGCTATCAAAGATCTCCGAGGTGATAATCGAGTTCATTCCTAGAGAGGAGAATCAGTTTGCAGATGATTTAGCTCAAAAAGCTTGCAAGGGAATTCTAAAACATATATGTGCAGAGCTCGGCCCTGAGGCAGAAACAGGAACTGACTGGAAGACAGAAACAGGAACCGACTGGAGAAAAGAATTTATCATGTATTTACAAGATCCAGGAGCAAATGTACCAATTGGAATTCGATTGAAAGCTTTGCGATTCCAATTGGTAGAAGGAGTGTTATATAAAAGGACATTCGAAGGATTGCTTTTGAAATGTTTGGGTCCCGAGCAGGCTTTGGAGGTAATGACAGAAATGCACAGTGGAATGTGTGGGGCTCATCGAGCAGGTCTGAACATGAGATGGGCCATACATAGGCTAGGTTTCTTTTGGCCAAAGATTTTTTAAGATTGCATACAATTTGCCAAGGGTTGTCAAGAATGTCAGAGGCATGGACAATTAATTCACTCGCCAGTCACAGAATTGCAAGCTATGGTAAAGCCATGGCCCTTTAAATCTTGGGCTATGGATATCATTGAAAAAATCCATCCTCCCTGATCCAAAAATCATTGTTTTATCTTGGTTGCAACAGATTATTTTACCAAATGGGTGGAGGCGGTTGCTTTGAAAACTGTGGATCAGAAGGAGGTTATTGATTTTGTGCTGAATCAGATCATATATAGATATGGTATACCCCATTCAGTAACAACCGACCAAGGTCTGGTCTTTACTAGGGAGAAGTTTTTAAGTTTCATGGCAGAATTTGGCATTCGGTTGAATCATTCATCGTCTTATTATCCTCAAGCTAATGGACAGGCGGAAGCAGCTAACAAGATTATTATTGGAATCGTCAAGAAAACAATTGAAGGGAACCCAAGGAAATGACATTTGTTGTTCCCTCGAGCCCTATAGGCACATAGGAATAACAGAAGTTCTGCCACAGGGTTTTCACCATATCAACTCACTTTTGGACAAGATGCTGTGTTACCAGCCGAAGTGCAGGTTTCATCTGGACGCATAAATTTTACTGATGATGAATTTACTGAAGAGTATCAACAAATGATGTTGCAGCAGTTGGAAAGTCTGGATGTCAACCGACTTCATGCAATTGATCAGATTGTAAAGCAAAATGAGATCAGGGCCAAGACTTATGGAAAGAAGATCTTTTATAGAACATTCAAAGAAGGATACTTGGTCTGGAAGACTATTCTGCCAACTTACAAGAAGGTTGATCAATTAGGAAAGTGGTCCCCAAATTGGGAGGGCCCATTCATAATTCAAAAGGAAATTGGAAATGGTGCCTATATTATTATAAATCAAGAAGGTAAAAGGGTACTCGACTGTATTAATGCTAGATATCTGAAGAGGTATTTTCCTGCCTTTTCAGATTACAAGAAAGCATAAAACAGTAAGTTTTCATAACCCACTTGCCAAGGGTTCGAACCTAACAAGGGTTCACTCATTGTCAGATGTTGAATCGTGCCGAGAGTTGCTCTCTCCTGAGTCAAAGTCATAATTCCAATGGTTAGGGATAAGTTCTGGCTCTTCATCGATAAGGTCTTCTAAGCTAGGTCGGTACTTCTCCCACTGATCTTGCATTTTCTCAAGATCATAGTCAGTTCGAGCTTTCATGTCTGTCAAAGCTTGGCGTTCACGATCAACAAGAGTGCGTAATCTTGAAAAGACCACACGTTGATTAGAGAAGGTGTGATCCCAGCCAAGGTCTGGGAGTATGGCTGTCACATGATGTTCAATTAGATCCATGTGATTATCAATGTCGGGAAGGCGAATTTGGATATCCCAAAGGGTCTCATATCCTTCTAGCACGTTTTCCATCAGGCGAATGACACGGTGGATGGTCTTTCTGCTTCGTTGGGAAAACCTGAATTTGAAATCCAATTGTTTGAGGATGAATAGCAGGTCTTCAGCATGACCTCCGACTGGATGGTTACCCACAAAAAAGGGTTGGATGACACCTTGCCAATTGTTGATAGGAACACGAGGACAGTGAGGACGCATGATTATATTCTGTGGTAGGTATATGCAAGGTTGATTTATGAGCAAATCTTATTTGAGGATGTGCAAGAGCAGCAAATATTTATAAGGAGATGATTTGTTCGGTTCTTGAAGAGTGGGAAATTTGGAAGGCGATCCTCGATAAAAGGAGAAAAATTTTGTTTGCCAAGTCAAAGAATTACAAAAGGGATCTTAATACAAGTTTTATTTGAGACCATTTGTCTTCTGTTCTGGAGCGCCGTCTATTATTAGCAGCCGGTTGGTACTGCTTTATGAATTGGGATCGGGCGTGAAACTTTAGCTCCTGGTCCAGGTCGGCTGCATTACTTTGGTACCGATCAATCAGACGTTGCTCATCGTTGATATGTCCTTCCAGGACAGACCTTTCTTGATGGAGCGTCTTCAGCTCTGCTTCTTTTTGCTGGATTGACCCCTCGATTTGTGCCTTGGCATTATTCAAGCTTTCTAGTCAGCCAATTGCTTGTTGAATGGATTCCTTGGTTTTAATCAAGGAGGCCTACAGACTTATTTGTTCCAGGTCGGGCAAGGGGGTCTCAGTCGTCAAAAGTTGGGCGAACAGAACTTCATTTCTGAGTTCGGACAGTCGCTCCATTAATTGGTGAAGAATAGGGGCAGCAGCCGACTTTCAAGACATTTGGAACAAGAGACCACCAACAGCTTGAAGAAGGTTGTCAAGCAAGTCTGACCCCAGGTCGGGGAAAGATTGGTCAACAGCTTGTGCAATTACAGTTCGGACGTCCGTCGGAATGGGGACCGCCGACAAGAGGGCTAGGTCAGAACATCCCTGAAATAAAAGATGTTTATCTCAGACTAAATGAAAAATGAGTATTGAAAATTGATTGTGAGAGGTTGCATATACCTCTGGACGGATGGTGGTTGTTGAAGGTGCCAAAATAACCCTAAGTCTGGAGGGTCGGGCGGTTGGTATTTCGATAGCTGATTCGTCGGTTGTTTCGAGTGGATGCTGAGGTACGGATCCAGGTCTCTGAATGGTGGAAATATAGTGTGTCAAAGGTCATGCTAGCTTGTATTTTGGTACATTGGAGGAAGAAATTTCAAGTGTTTACCAGGTTGACAGAGGTCTCTGAGTCAGATGAGGGAATTTCTGGTAATTCCTGTAAGAGACCTCTTGGTGGTATTGGTGCAGGTTCATTTTCTCGCCTATCTGCTTCTGGAAGAGGGGCTGCTGCCCTTGGGTCGGCAACCTCCAAGTCGGCCACTATTGGGTCGGCAACCTCCAGGTCTGCTACCCCTGGGTCGGCAACCTCCAAGTCGGCCACTGCTAGGTCGGCAACCTCCAAGTCGGCCGCTGCTGGGTCGGCAGCCTCCAAGTCGGTTGCCCCTGGGTCGGCAACCTCCAAGTCGGTCGCTCGTTGGTTTGATGTGTCTGGGACGGTTGCATCAGAGGCAGCAAAAGCAACATGAGATAACCTATCCGTATCTGAAGCAGTTGTCTCACTGGGAGATGAAATTCCTGTTGTTACATGTTCGGTGGATGGAGGTATTTTATTCGAAGCCCGACGCTTGGTCGGGTGTTCTGGTTCTGGTAGTGGGCCGGTCGGTAGCTTTGTTGTTTTAATGTGTCTGGAAGTAGGTTGGGCGGTCGCTCGAGCCGAAGCCACACCTGAGTATGAATTAAGGATTAATATTCTGTTAAGGGAAGAATCAAATTACATTGAGAGTATACCTGAACGGGGTCGGGTCCTTATAAGGAGCCAACCTGATGGACGCTTTGTTGGGGATGGTTGACTGTTCCCAGAAGGGGGAATAGATTGGGTCTGAGGGGCTTTTCTCTTCCTCTCTGGAGTACCCGACTCATCGCCCTGAGTAATCAGGTTCCTTCGGGTGCTAGTCAGAGGGGTTGTTCCTAAAGTAATTGCAGGTGGGGGAAGAAGTATGCCCAGTAAACGATCCTTGTCAGGGGCAATCAAGGCCCAAGTAACCGACCACCACTCCCGAAAAGACTCAACAGAAGTTGGAGAAGATTTGTAAGGAATGTAAGAATTAGAGGTGATGTAATTTGTAAGTTGTGATATGTTTGGGGCAATTGCATCAAGAATAGCTCTCCCATCCGGACTTTGAATTATTAGATGGGGATGAGCAATGGGACCAGACAGACCTTGTTGGCATCCGAATTGGCATGCCACAAATTGAGGTTGATAATTGAAGATATAAAATATTTTGGGACCC